TTTGTTGGTACTGGGGATCGAACTCTGGGCTCTTGCACTTGCGAGGCAGGCGGCAGAACCACTGTGCTGAATCCCAGGCCCCTCTGTTGTTCTTTAGTTATAGTTAGTGGTAAATAATGACCATTTCACAATGACCAGTTCTTTATTATAAACATCAAAAACTGTGGAGATTATTTTATCTTAATCACTGATACAACTACTGGTTTCCTCTTTTACAGACACTGACTGGACTGATCAATGTGGGCAGTGTAGACTGCCAACAGTATCATTCTTTCTGTGCCCAAGAAAATGTTCAGAGATACCCTGAGATAAGATTTTATCCCCAAAAATCAAATAAAGGCTATCAGTATCAGTAAGTAGTCTCTGAAATTTGAAGCCTTTATTACAATGGTTTATATAGTTATTCTGACTAAATAAAAGTTAAGCAAATATTGGGAGCACGCTGTTTAAGATTGTATTAACGAGCACTTCAGAAGATCAGATGAAGAGAGAATTGGACAGTGGTCCTAGTCAAGAAGTTTGATAGCTCTTTCTCCCATGTTCTTGATTAGGCTAACATCAAATATTTTCACATACTGTACTGTAGTAGATCTTTACTCATATTATTTCCACAAGTCTTCTTGTATACAATGAGGAGGGAATTTCTGCCTTTCCTACTATGACAGAGAAGTGTGGTCCTCAGCACTTAGAAAACTTTCCTCAGTCACCCACCTGCTAAGGGTTAAAGCTGGGACGTGAACCTGGGACTGTCCCACTGCCTGTGCTCTCTCCATGCCACCAGTTAGTAAAGCAGTGAAAGTGATCAATGGGCCTCAAGAAGCAACGTCATAACTGAGGAAATTGGGAAAGCTGCCCTTTTTTTTTTAACTGGAGGTTGAACTAGGGACCTTGCACTTGTGAGGCAGGTGGTGAGACCACTGAGATTAAATCCCCGGCCCCAGGAAAGCTGCATTTTTGAGGTGGTTTTTACCCTGACAGTCTTTTTTAAAATGGATGAGAATTTGGCAGACAAAAATACCTCAAATACAAGTTCAGAAACTAAAGTCTTAGAGATAGGACATCTGCAGGATATCTCCAACAGGCAGCTAGCCATTCTGACTTATCTGGAGCAGAAAAGAAACACAAAGACTGAGCCTGAGGGTATAGTGCATTAACATGTGAGAGGCCTTGGATTCAATGCCCAGTGTGTGCACGCATGCCATTCCCCAAAAATATAGGACTGGAGAAAAATATATTTGAAAGCCATAGCACCAGTGTTTAAATTAAATACATCTAAAAAGGTATATACTAGGTGTATACTAATTTTTTAATGCTACCATAAGATTTTCTGAACATGTCCAACTTAATGTTTTGTTTTGTTTTTTTCTTTCAGTAGTTACAATGGTTGGAATAGGGATGCTTATTCCCTAAGAATCTGGGGTCTCGGGTGAGTAATTAAAATACATATATCATTGTATAAAATAGATTCAGAGCTATTTAACTTCCTTTTGTCTGTAATTAAACTTTCTGTAGGTTAAGAGTCTAGCATTTAAAGTACTTATTAAAGGATTGTATTTTAACTTAGTCTTGCAATATTACATTGTAGTTGTTTGCTTTGGTTTTGTATAATGAAAACTTACTTTTATCCTTTGCTATAGATTTTTACCTCAAGTGTCCACAGATTTGACACCTCAGACCTTCAGTGAAAAAGTTTTGCAGGGGAAAAATCATTGGGTGGTAGATTTCTATGCACCTTGGTGTGGACCTTGCCAAAATTTTGCTCCAGAGTTTGAGCTCTTGGCTAGGGTAAGTCTTATCTGTCTCCTTAAATAGAAGCTGTAGTCATTCATGTGTTTATTTTAATAGTTAGATAAAACTATGATTCTTAATTTAGTTCTGAATTTTAAAAAACCATTTTCCATTTAATTGTAGTCTGTACAGATTTGCTTAAGTAAAAATTCTAGCTAACGTCTTCGTTGATAATATTATCATCCACCTAGCAGTAACAGTCATAAGTGTTCTTTCCCCACCACAAATGCTGTCTACTGCCCTGGGCAGCCTTTGGATCCTGGTGTTTCTCTCTCCTGAATGCCTTTTGGATCTGGCGCTGTCCATCTCCATGCTCGCCTCTGTTTGAGCCCTCATCATCTCTCACTTAGACCCCTATTGCCAGTCTTCTGTGCCCAGGGCCACACAGTGACCTTTGTAGAAATGCTGCCTTCTCACTCATTAACTACCCTTCTTCCTAGGTGCTCATTGACTCCAGGGCTCAGTTTGACCCTTTCTGCCTGTTCAGGCCCATTCAGCTTTATCTCTGTCCCTCACGTTCCGGGCACAGGTTCTGTGAACACATACCTTCATATATGTGCTGCTTCCTGTCTCTAAAATGACCTGTCTTTTACCTTGGCCATCTGGATTTTTTTTCCTCACCCTGCAAAATATAGCTCCATGCCACTGGTTTGGTGACCTCCATCCTTGTTGTTAGATCAGTGTCACATTGCTGGCATAAAATCCCTCATCACTGTGCTTGTCCAGACTAAGGTTCTTGAGGTCCAGACCTTGAAGTCAAGATCCATGTCTTATCAAGCATTGTATCCCCTCTGCCTCAGTGAACTGAACACTCACGCTCACTGCTGGCTAAGCCTTTGGTGCTCCTCTGGTCCAGGAGGCCTACTGATGATGTAGTCCAGATTGATTGCTTCTTAATTAGCTAACTCAGAGCCCCTATCATTGACAGACGTAACACTGATTAGAGAGAAAAAGTCAGTGTCAGTTCCACAGGCCAGAACAGCTTAGCATCCCAAACCATAGCGATATTTTTAGCAGGGGGGATTTTTTTAAAGTCTCCTACAATCAGTAAATGATTTTAGTTATGCTGAGCTCCCGGTGGCCAGGAAGTAGAACCGAGAAGTGGTGCCAGAGAGGAAGGGAAAGGGACCAGACAGGGACCCTACAGCCATACCTCCATCACCCACCCAGGAGTGTCCCCCACCAATCCCCCAGAGGATCCCAAAGCCAGTGGAGTTGACTCCACCCCAACCACCACAGACCAGAGAGGACGTAAGCAAGGAGGAACAGAGTGATGACATATGCCAAGAGAGGAAATAGAAGATGAAGGAGTAGTCCGAGTATCAAGGGTTCATTAAGAACAAAGTGTTGGGATGGGGATTTAGCTCATTGGTTCCGCCGCCTGCTTCACAAGTGCAAGGACCCAAGTTTGATGCCCGGTACCAAAACAAGAACAAAAAGTGCCCGTTCATTTGGGTCAAGTAGAAGTGACTGTGAGCTTACACCCATTTCATTGAAGGCAGCAGTAAGAACACGAGCCAGACTAAAACACCATGTGAGTACATGAGGAAGAAGCCACTGCAGAACAGAGAGGCAGATGGATGCGGCACATGCTGGTAGCAGAGGAGCCACCGCGGTACAGGAAAAAGTCCTTTCACATATTGTGTCAACTGACAAGAGCAGGGTCTGCCCGGAAGGACTGGAGAATGCGGATGGAGTAATCTGCCCTCCTCCACATGAAGAAAGCCACTTTGGCACAGGAGCCCTGCGAGAAGAAAAGGCTTAGAGACAGAAACACATTCCATTGTGCAATGGGCAAGACATGGGAGCGGGGAGAAGTTGTAATAATTTTCCAGTGTTTTGGTGAGGATGAAGAGTTTATTTGCTCTTGGAGAGGTAATAGTGAGATGCTTAAAGGGCCAGGAAGAAATTGGGAAACGATACCAATTGAATTGCAAGGATCAAACCTGACTTTTTAAAATCCTTAAATGTGTAAAGATTTGAAATGTATCATATTGGTTGGTAGTTGTCAAAATAGTTTATGTCAGAAAATGACAAAATGTATTTTTTTTTTCTCAGATGGTTAAAGGAAAAGTGAAAGCTGGGAAGGTAGACTGTCAGGCTCATTCCCACACCTGCCAGAAAGCCGGAATCCAAGCCTATCCGACCGTCAGGTTTTATGCCTATGACAGAACAAAGGTAAGTGCAGGCTTTCCTCTGGGACCCTAACCCTAGTGAGCTGAGCTCAGAAGGAGAATTGTTTGCAGGCTCATACTTGTTTTTCTAGTTCTTTCTCCCTTTGTCATTTTTTTGTCTTGCTGCACATTACTGAAGCTTTTTATTACATATGCATCAGGTGTTCTTATGCAGGTTTTCTGTCTCATACTTGATGGGCTCCTCAGTTGCCTTAAAATTTTTTTACTCATCAATGTAAAGAAACGTAAGTCTGGGGATTTGGCTCTGTGGCACCTTGCAAGTGCAAGGTCCTGAGTTCAATCCCTGGTGCTGCAAAAAAACAAAAAAACCTAACAAAATTATTAAGTGATTAGGGCTGGGGATTTAACTCAGTGGTTCTGCCACCTGCCTCACAAGTGCAAAGTCCCAAGTTGGATCTCCGGTACCAAAAAATAAGTGATTAATTCAAGGTGATTATTTTCTATGAAGTTCTGTATTTTTTACTTTTTATAGAATCAATAGGTACTGCTTTTTAAATTCTTTCCATGAAAAGAAAAAAAATAATACTTTTAGTAACTGAGCATTTATCTTGCTAGAGATTTAGATTACAAATAAAAGTTAGAGTCCCTTGGTTCAGTTACTGTTACTTCAGGGCACTCCTAGCAATATGCTTTTTTCTCCAGTAAATAGTGCAGCTCTGCACCAAGGAGTCTTCACAAAGCACAGATGATAGCCTTTCTCTGGACAGAGATGCATAGAATATGTCTTGTCACCAGTATAACTTATGATGGTTGCTGCCTTCCCAGGTTAAAAAAAAAAAAAAAAAAAGACTTTCTGACATACCTGTGTTACTTGAACCATAATTTTGCTATTTTTCTGACAGAATTGAAAACTGAATTTCTTATCCTGGTATGTAAGATGGTAAATGAAGGGTTAGGTGTCAGTCAGTGGTAGAGCACTTGCTTGGCATGCGTGAGGGTTCAATCCCCTGTATTGCGAAAAAAAAAAAAGCAAACAAGCAAAGAACTAAGCATATTTTTTAGTTGTAAGTAAAATCCAACATACAAAAGGACTGAGGAAATTGCACAGCATGGTAAAATATAAATCCCAGAAACACTGAAAAAATAATACACTTTTCAGTATCACTTAGAGGGCAGCCAAAAGTGAAATGATTTTCTCTCCACAAGTAGACTGGAAAGGGCAATTTAGTGAAAGGAAGTAGAAGACAAAAAAGTCATGTCTCAGAAGTTATTGTGGCTATTGAGGTCACCAGGAATATCCTGTAGTGTATACTGCTACCTAGAACAATGTTTGCCTTCAGTATTTCTGTTCAGAATGCTGTATTCCACTGAGTACATTTCAAAGTCATGAGCTTGCTTGCTTGGGCAGGGGGAGAAGAACCTTAATAAAACTAAAGAGGTATTTACCACATACTCAGGTTTTCTGGTAAAATATTCAAAGTAAATAATTTCTAATGTTTTATACCTTTTGAGGAAGAATGTCAGATTAAGATTATTTAACAGTTCTAATACCTTTTGAAATAGTTTAAGAAATTAGGCCTAGGCTTGGTGGCCCACACCTATAATCCCAGCACTCAGGAGACTGAGGCAGGAGGAACACCAGGGGTTCAAGGCCAGCCTGGGATATACAATGAGTTCAAGACCCCCTGAACTACATAGAGACCTCGTCTTAAAAAAATAAGGCTGGGGATTTAGCTCAGTGGCATCACACCTACTTTGCAAGCACAAGGTCCTAAATTCAATCCTGGTACTGCAAAAAAAGAAAAAAAACAGGGCCAGGGATTTAGCTCAGTGGTTCTGCCACCTGCCTCACAAGTACAAAGACCTGAGTTCGATCTCTCGTGCCAAAAAAAAACCAACAAATTTAGGAGTAATCTAGGAGTCACAGATGTAGGTCTCTCAGTAAAGGTTTTTGGTTTGTCAAGAAGTTATTTCTCTCTTATAAACAGCCTCAGGCACACGCAACACAGGAGCAGCAAAGTGCCTGAGTCCTCAATTCCTTTGGCTCAATAAATTTGACTCACAAATTGATACTAGGCAAGTATAGGTGTAACGAACACAGAATTAGCCAGGCCACAGAGGGAACTATTTGAAAAGATGTTTCTATGAATACAGAGGGACACAGAACAGAGGACAAGTTAGGGACCCGATGTCCCTGTCCATGCAGACTCCGGTGACCCAGGAGTCCAGGCCAGACCAAAGCACAGTGGTCTACAGGAGACAGAAGTCCAAACCAAGCAGGCTGTTCACACATTTCACAAAAGCAGTTGGAACACGTGCAATTTGGGGTTTGGGGCTCACACCGGGAGAAAGGAACCTGGCAGCTGCTGTGCCAGAACAAGTGGGGGTGGCAACGTGGGTGTGCCCCAGTGTCTCCACCACTGACAACAGGATCCTGTGCTTCCTGTTACTGAAGTTGGCCAGGGTTTTGCCAGTGCACTGATTTGATCAGAATGATTTCAGGCCTGTGAGGACATCTTTGCTTATACATTTCGTATGTGTTTGAGGCTTTTGAAGTCACTGGTATATTTTTCCAAGAATTTTTTTTACATTCCCATAGTACATTTATTCCAGGTATGGCTTAACTGCTTTTCCAGCTTTATTTCCTTGAAGAAATTTGAATTTCAAACACTTAAAAGTTTTAGAACAAAAGAACTTTAAAGCATATTAGTCAAGTTGTTAGATGGAAATGTTATTTAATATTTAATCAAAACATGACGAGTGTTTTTAATTTTAGAAAAGTATTTGGGAAGAGCATATAAGTGCTAGAGATGCAAAAACAATTGCTGCCTCCATTTATGGAAAACTCGAAACTCTCCAAAATCAAGAAAAGAGAAACAAGGTGAGAACAAAGCCTAAAACTTACTTCGGCAAAAGTTACAGAAAAATGTGTTCATTATGCATTACCTGTTAGTAAGAGTCAGAATTTTCTACTTTAGAAAATAGGCAATCAAAATACAGCTTCTAAACACTAAAATGCTTACAGATGTGTACAAGTAAAACCATTATACAAAAAATTACTAAGTTCTGTACAAAAACATCCATGTAGATGTTCATATCAATACCATTCATAATACCAAAAAATTTAAACGCAGATGTCCTTGAACTACTGAACAAAATGTGGTCTCTCTTACCATACTCGGGCGTGTTCTTCACCACTAAAAAGGAATAACGTGCTGACCACCCATGCTGTAACATGAATAGCCATAAAACATAGTCTTCATGAATGAAACCAGGCACAAGGCCACATCTTCACAGGATTCTGTTTGTGTGAAATGTTCAGAATAGACTGATTCTTACAGACAAAAATTAGGTTAGTGGTTCTTGGAGTGAGGTGGAAAAGAGCAAAAATTGGGGTGACTGCTAATGTGTAAAAAGTTTCTTTTGAAGTGTGGAAAGTGTTCTGAAATTAGATTTTTAGGATAGTTGTACAAATCTGAAGATATTAAAAACTACCGAGTTCCTTTGCAGGAATTACATGATACATAAAATGTAATTAAATTTTGTTCAAATATAAAGATGCCATTAAGTTGTTAGGAACAAATATACTAAAACCTTAATACATTTTAGATAGCAAATTTTCCTTTTTTTCTCACTATAGTAGAATGTACATTGAAACTCATACTCATCTTTTCTCCTTGGATTTTTTAATCAGCTTAATTCTTGTTTTTCCTCAGAAGCCCATTCATTTTTTTCCTCTTAAATAAATTAGTGTCATTCTAGGACATCTGAGATCAGCAAGTCCATGAATGTTGGGAGTTTTTTAAATGGAATTTAGTTCAATCACATGTGAAAAATATCTTGTATTCTCAGCGTATAAGACAAAAAGAATAGCACAGCCTCTAGGGAGGGTTAGAGAAATGTGGTTCTATAAAACATTAGAATCTAAGCTCTGTATCACCCAGTTCAGAACTAAGACCCCAGAATAGGAAGCTGTACAGCTTTCCAAACATTTTATTCCTATCTAAAAATAGTAGGGAAGAGATAACAATGAAACTGTTTTCCTGGCCTACTTAGCAAACATGTTTTTTACTGCTTGCAATATTTTCTCAAGTTATTTTAAAATTTGTGATTATTATCTGAATTTAGAATAAACCATAGTCCTAAACCCAGAATATCATTAACTGAAATCAAGCTAAGGAACATACTAGTTATGACTTAGAAAATATATGTAACAGCACCTCAGTTCACAAACTTAATTCTTTCCATGATTCTGATTACAAACTGAATTGGATGAGAACCGAATCAAATTCACTGGTTGGGTTCTGCAGTGTTTCTATGGGGAAATTTGATTCAGATCTCATCCAATTTGGTTTACAGTCAGAATCATGTAAACAATTAGGTTTGTGAACCAAGGTACCACTGTAGTTTTTGATATTTACTCTGGGCAGGTACAAACTAAAAGATTTTCCTTTCTTTTTGATTGTTAAGCAAGATGTGTTTTATATGATAATCCATTAAATAAGAGTACTGAGTATTTTTGAAAAGGTAAAATGTTGGTTTATATTGTACCGTCCTTTATAATACTTTTAATTACTAATTTTAATACTTTTTAATATTACTAATACAGGATGAACTTTGATTATATTGAAGATGAAGAAAAATTGAAAAATTCTGGAAAATACCATCAGAAAAAGAATATTAACATGTCTTAGACTGATAATCACATTGCCTGAAGCTGTACAACATTGATGTAAACAAAAGGTCTGCAGACTTTTTCTGGAGAAAGACAGGTCGTGCGTTTTAAGTTTTATGGACTCTTTGTTCGTCACATCTTTGTTGTTGTTAATGATTCTTTTAAAAAACAAAAACCCATTCTTAGCTCAGGGCCATACAAAAACAGATCACAGGCCAAATTCATTCTATGGGCCTCGATTGCTGCCCCCTAGAAATGTTCTGCTGTCTGGCTCTACCATGAGCCTGTTCGCTGTACAAAGTGGATTATTTAGTTAAAAGTGGATTTATTTCTCAGTAAAAAAGCTGTAACTTGGTTATCAAAAACACTCAAATATGGTAAAGTAGATAATCTTTCATACTGTTTTGTACTGAAGAAATTCATTTTGCTTTAAAAGTTGAGATTTTTTTTTTTTTTTTACAATTGAGAAATTTTTGCAACAGTAAATACAAAAATCTTACAAACTGCCTTATCACCCAGGAAAGCCAGAGGGAGGAATTCACAGTGAGAAAATGGACCTCTCAGTTACTCCAGCATAGCAAGTAGAGTTCTATATTTTTAAAATGTGTGCACTTACTTTCTGAAATTGCTTTCATAAAAATTTTCCCACTGACAGTTCGTTTTTGAGGCATCATTCTAATACTTACAATTTTACTTACTGGATTTTCTATTTATTTACATTTATTTTTCCATAGCTGTGGTTTTTCCACTCAAACAGGAAAAACAATTTTATAGATTTATTTACTGTAGCTCATGATATCCTGGTTGTTGCTGTCACAATGTCAGAGGCTGCCTTTACCAGGTAAATGTTGGAATAACTGAAGTTATTTTTATAAGAAAACCAAGTATATAAATCTAAAGTGGGATCTTTCAGTTCGCAATTTGTTCTGATTCAAAACAAAATTTTTCTTTGTATTTCAACAAAACTGTGACCTCTAGTTGTTCAGTTACAGTTCAGAGTGTATGGAATGCTAAAAATTTCAGCTTATCAAAAAGAGGTTAATGAATAAAAACACTGCAGTATTCCAGAACCTATTAGGTTTATGGTGTGTTGAGTAGGAAGAGTTTTACTGGTTTTTGTCACTGTACGCTGTTCCCCAGTGCTATCCTTGTGAAGGGCATTTTATAGTGTGATGTGCGTGGAGTGTCACAGCCCGCGTTCATTTTCAGCTCCAGCTGTATGCATAGTCTCTCCCGTTTACTCTTACAGCCCGTGGTCTTGCATTCATACACGTGGCAGCAACGTGTGGAACACTTAGCACTTTAAACACCAATTTTTTGAAAAATGATCAATGGTGACAAAAGCCTTTTATTTATTAAATTTGTGTTTTAAAACCTACAAATTCTTAAAAAGTCCTTGAATTCTACAGAAATCCAAAAGGAATGCCTACAGAGGTCTCCAGAGATGCGTGCTGAGTTACACAGCAGTTCCGTGTGTACCACTGCATGGGCTCCGAGGGCGTGCAGAAGCCACGAGGCTCGGTTCTGCCCCCGAATCGCTCACAGTTGTGTCTCTGCACTCGGGCTTCACTACCTACACTTCACCTCCTGCACGGACAGATATTTGAGGCAGTAAATTATATTAACTTGGTTTATGTGCCTGTAGAATCAGCTGTAAAGCTTTTTAAAAATGCTGCATCATTTCATTTGGGGCATTTTATTTACAAAGCACTTAGTTTAATTTAACGTTTACATGAGCAGCATTTTTAAGTCAAGATTTTAACAGGACTTTTCGGTAACATTTAGTTCATCTTTTAAATTTGCCAACAAAACCAGGTAAATAAATGTCTTAATACAAAAGTTAAATGAGGTGGATCTTAATTTTCTTAAATGACATATAATAAAACTAATCCTGAAGATTAAATCTTTCTGTTAATCTGTTTTAATGCATATACTGAAAGTTTTTAAGTATACCCAAATTCTTCTATTAAATGTGTTTTTAGTAAGAATGATAAAATTTAGGCCAAACCACAGAGACTAAGTATAAAAATGTCACTGGTTCACTGGCTTGAGTCATGTTTGCACTTAACAGTGTACTGCATTTAGTTTCTCTTATCATTCAGTCCCTTTGTGAACAGCAGAGTATTTTTGGGACATAACATGAATTATGTATGACCAAAGGCTAATGCCAGACTAGGCTGTGTCAGTATGGAATCCATCGATGCTGTATCTCAGCCACCTGATTGCATTAGTCATTTGCACGCATTACCTCAGCCTATGGTCCTGAAAATGACCCACAAAAAGGCCCTTGTTATCTTCCACAGAAAGTTGGTCAATTCGTCACGAATCCAGAACTCTTCATTAAACAACTGCTATTCTGAAGTCTTTGAGGAGGTTTTTTTAAAGTAAGAGGGAAAAAAGGCCAGGTGTGGTGGCACAAGCCTATAATCCCAGCCACCAGGGAGCCTCAGGCAGGAGGATCACAACTTTGAGGCTGGCCTTGGCAAGTCAGTGGAACTGTTTCAAAACAAAATTTTCCTAATGGTACCTAACATGCAAAGCCCTGGGTTCAATCCTTATTACAAGAGTGTTGGTATTTGGAACAAATGAAATTAGAAACTTAACTTAGAAAATTCAAATTCTTAAAAACTATTATCAAATGGTAAATCACAAATGTGAATCTGAAGCCAATTAATTGGCACAAAGCCCCCCCTGTGCATTTAAGTATGTTTCAGGTTAAGGAAAAAACTCAGTACGTACACACATACCAGGAGCCACTGCTGACTGAAATTTAGTAATAAAACAGTCTAGTGGCTGTAATGTATTCAGGAAAAATGTATAAAACATCTCTTTCTTGAGTTAAAATTACAATGGGGCCTGGGATTTAGCTAAGTGGTGTCACCACCTGCCTTACAAGCACAAGGTCCAGAGTTTGATCCCTGGTACCAAAAAAAAAATTACGCATGTAGGGAAGTCTGTGCCATTTTCCACTGATTATGAGTCAGCTTAGGTTTTATTCACCTTTCAGTTTTCAAATTCAGCTTTCTGTAGTAGTTTTTTAAGTAACATTTACTTCTGCTTTGTTAAAAATGAGAAAAACTTTCTGTTTGTAAAGGTGTTACTTGTGCTATTTTTCAAACTTGTAACTGTATCATTTGGTTTACTGTAGAAGACCTGTAGTCAGTCAGCAGTGTTGAATGTTGGAGCTTTCAGCAATACAAACAACCTGCTGCAGCACACCAGCCATGCATTTGCCACCACTGGTCTAAACCATGTCAGGACTTTGGAAGTTAAATCTGTATCAACTTCATTGCAAAAAGAAAGACCTATTGTATTATAAAAAGTATGTTTTAGAATTCACTTTGTTGACATGTATATATAAACTTCAAAATCTAAGAACTCCCCACACACCCCGTTTACAGTTGTCTGAGGAAAGCAGCTATGTCCTCCTTGCTCTCTGCTGTATTCACAAACCTAGCACATGGTTTTACCCACAGTTGTATATTTTACCTACCAGAAGTTGGTTTTGTTTTGGTACCAGGGATCTAACTTAGGACCTCGCACTTGCCAGGCAGGCACTGTTCCACTAAGCTAAATCCCTGGCTGTACCAAGAAGAATTTTTTATATGCCAGTAACTTATCTATGATGAGAATTCTTGAATAGCAATTGTAATTTCATTAGTTTACACTTGACAAGTTATAATTGTCCCATCAAAATAGGAATGATTTTTCTCCCCTAAAATAGAAAAGCGGTCATAATGTCCATACAGGACAACAAAAGATCAATGACAAATAATCCTGAGCCAAAAAATGTTTTTTAAAAATCCCATTAGTGACTTCAAAGCATACTGCAAAAGCCATAGTAAGCAACACAGCATGCTTCTGGCATAAAACTGACACATAGACCATCAAAACACAAAATAGAGTTCATGTGTACTGCCAGCTTTCTGAGAATGAAGAAGGGAGAGGCTCTTCAATAAATAATGCTAACAAATGGACATACATATCAACAATGAAACTAGATCCTTTCATCACTGTACACAGAATGCAACTCAAAATGGCGTAAAGATCTAACCACCCTGTAAAACTTAAGAAATTGCTTGAGAACAGAGGAACCACTTTAGGACTTTTGGTAAAGACGGGGATTTTTTGAATTTGTTTTGTTTTGTTTTGTTTTTTGGAACCGGGGATTGGAACTCAGGACCTCGTGCTTGCAAGGCAGGCAGTGGAGCCACTGAGCTAAATCCCCAGCCAGAGGCAGTGGTCTTTTTGTTTTTTAGATAGGACTCCAAAGGCACAGGCAACAAAAGCAAAACTACATAAACAGGACAATATCAAGCTAAGAATCTTCTACAGGCAAACAAAGTAACAAGAAAAAAACCTACAGAATGGGGAAAGCATTTGCAAACTATTCTAAACAGGTGATCAGTATCCAGAGTATATAAGGAACTCAAGAAGCTGAACGTCAAAGGAACAAATTAATTTAAAAATAAGCTAAAGATCTGTGTTGACACTTCTCCAAAGAAGATATACAATGGCTAACAGTATGTGCAAAAATACCCCATCTGACTAACCCTCAGGGAACCACAAACCAAAACCACCATAACATTCTACCCCAGCTAGGATGGCTGTCATCACAAAGATAAATGCTGTAAGAACTCTGTTAGTGTGAATGTAATTAGTACAGCCACTGCAGAAGAGTAACATTGCTCAAAAAACTAAAAAGTTTACTGTATGATCTAGTAATTCCATTACTGTCTGCATCCAAAGGAGATGAAGTCCTGCCAAAAAAGGCAGGCTGCACAATAGTTAAAATGTGAAAGTAATCCAGATGCCCATCGGGCCAAATGGATAAAGAAAATGTGATGTGCTCTGGAGTATCATCCAGCCGTAGGAAAAAGGCCTGCCGTTTAAAGTGAGTGCATGGAACTGGAGTGTGGGTGAAAGAGCCAGACATAGAAAGACAAATACATGCTCTCAGTGGGGAGGGGTGGACAGAAATGAGGGAGTACCAA